AATAACAGGTGTAAACAGAGGCTAATTGGGGCATTCCGGTGGATTTCCGCGCAAGACAGTCCGGACATGCATCATCCACCAGAAGCAAGGCAGTCCCTGGCTTGCACGCCAGTCTATTTATTTTCTAGTTAATTCATTAATTAATTAGAATTCTGTAATATTTTGGACTGTAATATTCTTTTATTTTGGGGACTGTAATATTTGGACTGTATTATTTATTTGGACCCTCCGAGCGAGGGCACAACTGTAATAAGCGTGGGTGAGTGTGATGTATGTCTTCCAACCCCACGTCTTTCTCCCTTTTATTTATCCGCTTTTGATGGTTAGATTAGGGCATATTTAAATTAGCATACAGTATGACAGCATGTTTGCATCATCCATCTGTTTTGCATGCACCGGGCTCGGCGCATCATACTAACTGCATTATATTTTCAATTCCAAATTGAATACATGATAGTTGTAGCATTCCATATACCATGTATAGAACAGCCGAGCCTGCTATAGTTGCATTTTGCATGTGTTGCATTAGGCATTTCTGTATACTTAGGATCATGCATGATTTCTAATACAGCTTTTGTTTTGGCTTGGAGTACCCGGTAAGTTTTATGCTTTAGCATCCTTGCATGCGTGCGAGTGTTGCCATGAGTAGTATGCTTACCATGAGGCTACGTGCTTATCTGATATAACTGCCTGAATGCCTGTGGGTGAAGGTTGGGTTACTTGGATTGGAGTAAATCATCAAATGCTTGTTTTAAGCCCACTAGATAGTGGCAAAATCATCTCTTCTAAGCCCACCTGCGGGTGGCAAAACCTGCATTTTAAAGCCTACCTGCGGGTAGCAAACCATTTTCAAATAAACAAACATGAAATGTTTTGTTCCAATTCGGGCGACCCGGTCTATACTTATATGCTGTCAGCATCACATAGTAATCTAGGCTAATAACCGGAATAAGAATTCACAATGTTTTCAAAAATTGATATCATGGTTAGTAGAGGCCGGTCTATGACCGGGCGAGCGGGGGTGCTCACAAAGTGAGCTTCCCCAATCGTACCCAAGTTCCCGAGCCGAGGCAACTTTGGTGATGACGGACACGTGGCCTTTTGGCACCGAGTCAGGGTTTCCTAAATTTCCCAAAATAAAATATTTAGGTGGCGACTCTGTATCTGGCAAAGCAGTCCATGTTTGGCACTTCTTTCAAAAATCAGTTTTCTCAAAACGATTTGCCGGATTTGGACTCTTCGGTTCAGACTTACAACCGTGACTACGAAAAGTCGAGTCCGAGCTGTAGCGAGGTCCCCCGCGGGCTATGTTACACACGGGAGAATAAGACAAAGGATTTGGTTTTATATTTGAAACACAAGATTCATCTAGTCCATATGCATTCAATTTGCGTTCGTAAGGTCCCTAATCAGTTCCATTCAGATAATTTGAGTCGTTCATTATTCATAAATCTTTATGTGAAAAAAATTAAATTGATCTGATAATCGTAGCCATATGTTTTCATCATATTTCTATATACTTATTTTGCATTATTTTATTTTATTTTTATAGATAATCTACATATAAAAATTTATTAAGATGAATGACTTTAATCATCGTAATAGAATTTGTCATGGATTCCACATTCCCAACCTAGACACATTCCACTCTGGTGTGTGGATTGTAGAAAATATTTCCCCCCTTATATTTCTTGCATTGTTGCGTGTTTGACCTTAGATTAAGGTGTCACTTCCATGTAACCATGAACCACACAACTAATTTAATATTGGTTATATCATAATTTTTTTATTTTATAATGGTTATCATCTGACGATGCACTAATAAGACTTAATTCATGCATTAATGAATTGAGATATGTTTTTAAGTCATGAGATATATTGATTTTGTGCTTACATTTAAAATTCTCTCTCTTAAATTAGTATCTTTTATTCAAAAAATCAACTCTTTTCAATAAACATCATCCTATTACGATCCACTTAATATGGTGTGGAATCTACCTCTAAATTTTTGTGAAAGAATCCAAACTCTTAGTTTAAATATGATAGTCATCTTAACAAATGTTATACACACACACACATATATATATTTTTTTGATCGGCAAAAATGAAATCTTTATTGATGAAACATACAGAGTGCAATATTACATCAATAAAGAGGAGCTTGGTGCTAAAAAAGCACCAAGCGCCAGCTGGTGAGGAACCAACAAGAGAGAGCAAGAAAGAAGAGCAAGCTAAAGGATAGACTAAACTAAAATGGAACTAAGAAACCAACTGATATACACAGCTGGTATGAGCCAAACCAGTGACCAACCAACAATAGCAGAGTATGAGCCAAACCAGTGACCAACCAACAATAGTGTCCACCCAGATCAGCATACCCCATAGCCAAGCAGCATGTACCCACTACCTATGCACCAAAGCAGAATACCAAAATGCAAACAACACAGAGCTTCAGCCTCAAGGATCAGAACACATTAAATGAGTGTTGTTAATAACACAGATGCATACCCAAACAGATTCAAGACAGATTTATATCAGCTCAACATTCTACCACCTGAACCCTTCCAATTTCAAGACAAAATAGATTTATACACAGCAACATAATACAACCCAAGCGGCAGAATCAGACCAGGGCTCAGATACAGACCAGTGGCAATCAGACCAGAATCAGACCAGCAACAAATAACACAGATTCAACATATGTTGCAACCCAACATAATAACACAGATTCAACATAATGCAACCCAACATAATAACACAGATGCATACCAGCGGCAGAATCAGACCAGGGCTCAGATGCAGACCAGTGGCGTAATCAGACCAGAATCAGACCAGCAACAAAAAAACAAAAACAGCCAATACTACACACAAAGGCAGATTTGCTTCAGGTTATAAATGACATCGTGCACCGAATAATTAAAACCCTTTAAAGATGTGGCTACCCACAAAGCTACTCTAGCCTTTATTAGCTCTTCCAGAGCATTCCACTCCAGCTGTACCTTGTTAAATAAACAGTCATTTATACTTCTCCACACTGACCACAAAACTGCTACCGGAATTATTTTCCAGACAGCTAGCATCTTCTTCTTCATTCTTATACCTGCCCACGACAAAAGAAGTCCCTCTACTGTTCCAGGACTAACCCATTTGTAATTCCACCAGTTCACTAAATTGGCCCACAATTTCCAGATAAAAGGGCAGTGGAGAAAAACATGGTTAACAGTCTCCAACTCAGCTCTGCAGAACACACAGAGCGCAGAGGTACTTAGACTCAACACTCCAATACGTTGCAAAAATTCAGAGCATTTTATCCTTCCTTTCCACGCTAACCAACTCAAGAATTGGACTTTGGGAGGGGCTAGATTATTCCAAATGCACCTAGTGACTGTCAAATCTACCCCTTGCCTTGCTTCCACCCACATCCAAAATGATGCAACAGTGAACTCTTCTGACGGGTGAGCTAACCATGAACAAGAGTCTACCACCCCTTCTTGGAGGCTAGGCGCATTCCGCAGAAAATCATTAAGTTTTTGCACTTCCTCCTCTTTCCATGCTAGGAGGGGACGTCTGAAGACCAGATTCCAATCTGAAGCTGACACCTTTCTGTTGAAGAAATCAGCCAACTTCCCATCTTTTTCAACTGATAATGTGAATAATCTGGGGAAAAGCACACTCAGATTTTGGTTGAGGCACCACTTATCATTCCAGAATTGCAGTCTTCTACCATTTCCGACAACTAGCCTGAAATTTTGCAAGAAGAAATCAAGCAAGGCAGTGTTGGCTCCAGCCACTGATATTATATCCTTCCATGTATGCGACATCCATACTGCACTAATAGGTAGGGGACACCATCCGCCTCCTAAACCTCCATACTTACTACATATCACTTTTTTCCACAGAGCTGTCTCCTCCTTGCCATACCTCCACCACCATTTTACTAGTAAGCACTCATTAACCTGGCTTAGGTTTCTCACCCCCAATCCACCTTTAGTTTTACTTAGGCATATCTCCTTCCAGTTAATTAAGTGCACTTTCTTACGAATGCTATATCGTATCAATTTTAGACCCCTAATATCAACCCTCAATTGCATGATAAATACTTATTGGATAGTTTTTATATTTTAGTGGGATTTTTAAGTGATATGACTTATGACACATCACTAGAGGTTAGTTTGAGGGGCCAAAATTGGAGGTCCAAAACATTTTCTTATATAAATAGATAAATAAGAATAAAAAATTTATCAAAATAAACCAATTAGAGTTGGTTGGATAGCCCCTTTCCTCTTCCCTTGTATAGTAATTATATATATTCTATAATATTTTTACATGTATATATTTAAAAAAAATTAATTGATGTTGTTACTTGTTAAGTAAGGTTATGAGACATGTCAACGATTCTCTATTCTTAAATTTTGATTTATTATTGAATTAATTATTGAATCATGTAAATTTTATAATATGTAAATCTTAAGACATAATATAATTTAATGATTATGAATGTATTAAGATAAAAAGACATAATAATTTAGAGACAAATTAAAATGAGAGAGACATTTAAAATGAGCATGGAAAAGTCAGTGGATTGTCCTCTTCATGTGACTTGCATTGAGTTCAACAGTTCACAAACAAAAGTCATATAATTCATTCATTTTTTTTTTTTCTTTTTTGGGGTCATTGTAATAACTTAATCAAAATGTAATTTGTTGACAGTCAATCCCATATTCCAGTTAATGCCTTAAGCACATTATCTAGTGACTAGATAATCTAAAAATTGACCGAGATTAGTGACTACGTAAGGGATAGACAACTTAGATGTTCGCTTAAGGATTGCAAAGTAGGGGAGCCTCCACTTTTTTTTTTTGGTGTAAAAAGATTATAAATAGGATTATTTTAATTATTTTAATTATGAATTTTAAATAAAATTATAATATCAAAAAATTAAAATTGCAGTGTAAAAAATTATAAAAAGTTTCAATTACATTTTTTAAACTTTAGACTTCAAGTAAGATTGAGCCGCCTTTAAACCCAAACAAAAAAGACTTCACCATGCATGTATTGAAATTGTGTGCATATAAATATATATTGTCTCCTGTTTGGAATTTCTACCATCTTCACAAAATCTCAGCTTTCACTATCACACCAACTGCAGTGAAAAAGAGAAAAGTTTGAGATCATCAAAATTTTTTCATAAAAATGATCATAAAAAATTTATGATCTTTGTATTACCTTGATTAATGTGTGTTGCTTTATTTTAAGTGTAATTTAAGGGTCACAAAGTTTTTATAATTATTTTAATGAAAGATTTTTCAAGATACCTCACATTGCTGAGTGAAAAATCAAAGACATACTTCAAAAGTGTATTATCAAAAATATGTACAAAGATGATAGAAGATTAACGAAAATCAAACACAACAATTTTTCTACTTGACTTAAATTATGCTGCCATATATATATATATATATATTTTTTCCTCACACGCTAGGATATTAGTAAGTTCGTAGTATTAGATTATATTATAACAAGTCAACATTATTTCATTAATTCAAATATGAAATCTCACCTTATTGGCATCTAAATATTTTTTTTTGAATCACTTGAATCATAACCCAAAGAAGATTTACTCGGTCGTTAATTTTAGGATATCAGAATTAGTCGAGATATACGTAAGTTGATCCGAACACTTATTTTAAAATAAAATAATAATAAAAAAAAACTCACACTTGCACCTATGTAGTTTTGCATTTACTTTTCCATTTCTCACTAATTTACAATTTTTCAAAAATCAATGCATCATAGGTTAATATATAATCTTCTGTTAATTTTAGTCTTTTAAAGCTAACATGGTGGGCGGTGGTAGATCAGAAGTCCATTATCCACCTCACTGGGGGTCGACCCCCAGTGGGGGTCTGTAGCAAAGTTGTTCTCACTAATTTACATTTTTTCAAAAATCAATGCATCATAGGTTAATATATAATCTTCTGTTAATTTTAGGAGTAATGGTAGAGGGCCATAAAAAGTGTGGTTCAAATGGTTTAAAACTGTCAAAACGACGTTGTTTTAGACGTAAAACGATACAAAATGACATCGTTTTGATAATTTTAAACCATTTAAATTATATTTTTTGTGACTCTCAAATATTTTTGTAATTTTAGTATTTTAAAGCTAACATGGTGGGCGGTGGTAGATCAGAAGTCCATTATTAAAATGGTTTTTAATCATCACGAAGAGTGGAAAAGGGGGTGTGTGTGAGAGTCTCCAAGTTGACAATGTCATCAAGATCTCTGATCCCTAGGTTTTCTGGGATTTCGTACAGGGCTCATTTTCCATAACCATGAGGATGATATTAGAACATTATTATTTTAAAATAATTGTACATCAGTCAGCATAGACATAGGGTTGTTGCCCCAATCATGTTCTCTCTCTCTCTGTGTATATATATATATATATATTTTTCACCCTTTTTGTTTTTGGTTGGTGAAAAGGAAATTGAACTCTCTATATATATATATTTAAAAACAATCCTAATGAATTGGTGAACATAGCGTGCATTCTTTATTCTTTATTTTTTATTTTTGTTGCGCATGCATTATTTTTTATTTTCTTGGAAGGAGTATTCTTTCTTTCTTTCTTTTCTTTTTTTTTTTCTTGAGAAAATTACATATCAGTTTAGTTTTTCAAAAAAAAGTTTCAAATCAATTAAAGATTTTAAAAATAAAAATAATTAATTTTTTTAAATTTTAAATATTTTATAAAAATTTCACTGAGGTGCAATTTCTCCTTTCTTATTTCTATCATTTTTTGGGATGAGAGTTTGCATATACATGTTATTGATCTCACATGCATGATGAGTATATATGTAGCATAAATTTCAATCCGATGGTCAAGACTTGAGGGGTATATTCTTTTCAAGGTTTTTGATGAAAAGCTTGAAGTCAATTCTCATTACAAATATCAAAGATACAAAGTTTATTTATACAAGAGGTACCTAACTGACTTAACAAATCACAACTACTTCTAACTAATCACTATGTGATACGGAAGTCAGTTGGAAGGTGTAACTGTCAGTGAGCCTTGAGTTGAAGCTGAGCCATGATTTGGTACAAAGGAAGCTGTATGAGCTGTAGCTGAACTTGCAGTTGTGATTGCAGTTGAATGAGTTGCAACTGTTATTGCAACTGGATGATCTACTGTAACAGGAGTTGCTTCAATATCCTTATCAGCCCCCTTTCAAGCTGATGGGAGAGAAGTGGACCATGAGCTTGGACTGAAGAAAATGAAAACGAGAAGCTAACAAAGGCTTAGTAAATGTATTTGCAATTTGATCAACAGAGGGAATGTATTTGAGAACAAGTTGTTTGTGAGCAACCTTTTTGCGGATAAAGTGACAGTCCACCTCAATGTGCTTGGAGCGTGTGTGAAACACAGGATTAGAGGCAAGAGCAATTGCTAATAAGTTGTCACACCAAAGAATAGGGGGGAATGGTAGTAGGAATAGAAAGATCATGAAGAAGCATCTGTAACCAGCTCAATTCAGCAGTAGCATGAGCATGAGATCGATATTCAGCCTCAGTACTGGACCGAGAAACAGTAGGTTGTTTCTTTGCAGACCAAGATATGATTTTGGAACCAAGATAGACACAATAACCTAAAGTAGATTTACGGTCTATGAGGTCACCAACCCAGTTAGAATCAGAGAAGGCTTGTAAGGTGAAAGAACTAAGACGGAAAAACAAACCATGAGAGAGAGATCCCTTAACAAATCGAAGAATTTTCTTGACCAAAGCAAAGTAACCATTTGTAGGGGCATGCATGTATTGACATGCTTGATTGACAGCTAAGGAAAGATTTGGACAAATAATAGTAAGATATTGCAGTGCTCCAACCAAGCTTCGATATAACTAAGGTTGAGCAAAAGGAAGGGAAGCAACAGGATTGAGAGGAGGCTTCATGGAGCTAAGTGTAGGACAAGATTTACAAGAAGTCATGCCTGCTTTGACAAGAATATGAAAAGCATACTTCTGTTGTGATAAAAAATAAGAATCCCCAAGAGACTGAATTGAAATTCTCAAAAAATAGGAAATGTCACCTAACTCCTTCACGGCAAAGGCTGAATGCATATGGTGGATAAGTGTTTGAAGATGAGAGAGATTGCTGCCAGTAAGGAGAATGTCATCCACATACACAAGAACAATAATAATAGAGGTAGAAGTTTTATGGATGAACAAAGAATTATCACAGTGGCTATTAACAAAGCCTTGAGAAATCAAAAATCTGAAAAAAGTAGAATACCAAGCTTTGGGAGCTTGTTTCAACCCATAGATAGCCTTCTGTAATTTGCACACAAGTCGTGGGGAAGAAGAATTGACAAATCCTAGTGGTTGTGTCATTTAAACCTCTTTATCCAAGGTACCATATAAGAAAGCATTGCTAATATCCAGCTGCTTTAATGGCCAGTGATGATATAAAGCAAGACAAAGCAAAATGCGAATTGTGGGATGTTTAGCTACGGGACTAAAGGTTTCAGTATAATCAATACCTTCTTGTTGCAAGAAACCTTTAGCCACCAACCGTGCCTTGTATCTGGCAATGGAACCATCACTGTTTCTTTTAATATGGAACACCCATTTACAACCAATATACTGCTTAGAAGATGGAAGAGGGACAAGAGACCAAGTTCCTTGAGCTATTAAGGCATTGTACTCTTCAAGCATAGCAGCATGCTAATGTGGAGAGGCAATGGTCTGTTAGTAAATAGAAGGCTCAATATCAACAAATGCGGAGAATGTGTGTGCCACAAGACCATGGACCTTTGAACGAGTGA